ATCCTGTTTATTTTTCTGGGATATTGTCAAGGCAAAACATGATTCCCCTATGAAAAGCTGTCCCAGGAAGTCACTGTAATTATTTACCCTTGAAAGAGAGAGCGCACTCATGTGGAAGGGCAGCTGGGAGCAGGACAAACTGCGGTGATCAGATACTGGTCAAAGCAACCTACTGATCAGCAGCTCGCTGGCTCTTTTTACTTCCCCTTCTTTTCATTTCCTCGTGTTGTTCTTCCTCCATCCAGCTTAATCCCTGTCTTTCTCTGCTTTTGTCTTCTCACAGATAAACAACGCACCCTTCCCTACTTTTTCCCTGTTGGTCCTAGTTTTGCTATATGTATACCTAAATTTGGTATTTCTGATCACTAAGGTGAGCTCATCCTTTAATGTTATTACTGATAGGCAGTTTTGACCTTGCAAGATTTCTCTCCCCCAAAGAGCCCTAATATTCCCTTTAATTACCTGTGAAGTTTTGCCATCTCTCATAGCTCCCCCATGTTTCCTGAGATCAATTTTCTCATCATCTGCTTTTTCAAACCTTAAAGTACAAAAGCCCGCCAACTAAAACCTTAGGTGCACCTGTAGACTACCTTTTTAGTAATAATTTAAATGTTCCTGCGTATGTTCCAAGGCCCTGAGTACAGCGGGCACTAATTAGTCTATATATTATATATAGGCTAATATAATATATATAATATAATAATATACAATATATATAATAATATATAGTACAATATATAATATACATAATAATGTATAATATAATATATAATATTTGTGTAATAACATTTACTAATATATCAGTAAATTCTTTAAGCATCTGAAAGGTGGTGTCTGCATACTAAATGCATTGGAAATGGTCTACAGAATATTCTAGTTCTAGGACCCAAGCTGGGTCCAGGAATCATCTAGAAGAGATCTAGTTGGCACAAACTGAAGGCAGGAGACCCCTTTAACTGTTTAACTGTAGATATGAATGAGTTTCAGTGCCTAGGAATATTCCAAGCTGTGTTTAAGATACTTGTACAACCACAGCCATATGGTCTCCAACAATGAATAGCAGCTCATCATTCAGTCTCATTAAACTGCCATGTACATCTGCTTAGGCTAACCAGGAAAACCTGGAGCTTGTTATTTTTCAGAGCATTATCTGGAAACATGGCATAATCTTCAGCACCTGTGAACATGAAAGAGGACAAAAGAAAAGAGGTGATTTGATGCACGTATGAGCAAAAAGTACTCTGAAGCTAATCCCCTGAAATGACTGAAAAAGTTGTAGAAGATATTTTTTTCACCTTCCTTGCTTGGCTGAGCTTAGTATTTCACTGAGCATGTCAGATGAATACAAAATTTCCTTAAGCTCCAGAAATTTACCTGGCATTTGATTAGCTGTAATGCACACATTTGAAAACAGCATACTTGAAAATGGAAAGTGAATTTTCCACTTTCCAAAGGAACAGCATGGCATATGCATCTATGCATAGCTGACTACACTTAATCTAAACATTTCACTACCTGTCATTGGTTTCTCTGTCATTTAATTCAGTCAAAATAAATTGGTTCTTGTACAGCAAAGCTTAGGTGGATATTCAGTATCACACATTTGCTAATAAAAAGCTCCATGCTAATACGGTCTGATTGCTTTTGGTACCTAACAGAGCTTATTTCGGGTTAAACATATGTTATATCTATACAAAACCTTAGCTTTTCAGATCATCTATGACTGTCTGAATTACCTATGTTTTCATTAACAAAACCAATCTTTTGGAATGAATTAATGAGCTCCCTACACAACACAAGTACTGTATTGTCGTGGTATAATTAACTGCTCATGACAGAAGTTTGGACAGGATCATCCCAAGTTTGACTTTCTCTACCCTAGTCTTTCTACACAAGGGGTGCAACAGATATCCTTAGTTTTATGCTACAAAAATATTACTCTCATGTACAGCAATTCCCATTATATCGGAGATACTGAACAGGAAAACCCCTACATAGAATAGCAGTTACATTTTGGGGAACAAATATGGACTCTAGAGGAAATCTGGACCGAGTGTTATACAAACTTCTTTAGACAGTGCTAGACACTAGCTGCTTTTGAACACATGAAGCCTGGAACCTGAAGAGACCATTCCCTAGCACGCAGCCACAATACTGTAAAGTACAACATAGATGGGATAACTTCAGTGACGATCAGAGACATTGTTCCTAATTATCTGATAGTCTGGCATTTTTAATCTAGCCCTGAGAAAGGACTGTACAATTACTTAAGACATTAAATTTATAAAACATTTATTTTAATTGAAATGAGACACCTGTGTGCTTTAAAGGACTGATTCCAATCTGCTTCTGTTCAAAATCCTTTATCTAAACATATATCAGACTCCTCATTAGAAAACAAATGCAAGAGACACATCTTTAAAGATTCAGTTACTATCCTGACAGTTTCAGAAGCATTTTTTTTCATAAGATTGAACACTTATTGAGCTTATTTTTTTTCACTCTTTAATGAAATATTGGTGACTTATTAGAAATGCTGTGCAAGTCACAAAAGCAAATATTCTTTTTTTCTTTTTAGGTGATATACACATTTTCCTGAAGCAATGAAATGTATATGTTTTTTATATACACTTTTTTTTCTTTAAGACTTTGCATAATTGTTGAGTGCATAAATTTAGGTGGATTTGGTCTCGTTTTTCATCATTTTAGGATTTCTGTACACTTATCCATATTATATACAATTAATATCTGCAGTAAAAATACTGAGTTGTTGAGAAAGTCTCCACCCTACTGGAAAAAAACATCTTCTCAGCTATCAAACAGGCGAAGAAGCTCTATGGTTTTCACTGGCATTGCAAATCCAAGCAAATTGCAGCAAGCAGACTTCCAAGCATCTTGCACTTTTTGTAACAGTGTTATTATAAAGTTATTTTGTGTTTGTTCTATATTTTTTTTTTGTAAAATCAAGGCCATCAAGGGTCAGTTCTAACACCGTTGTAAGTTGAAGGGGAGAGGACTAAACATAGTGTGTTGCACTCTGTTGTTTTCCACATCCGGTACAGCTGATGTCTTCTGTCAGTGCATTGCAAGCACAGAGGGAGGTGGCTCCTATTTTTTACCATTTCAGTTCACCTTGAAGAGTCTTCATACTTTCCCAACTGTAGAGAGTGAAAATGTGCTTAGCTATGAAGGAAGAATATGGGGAATTGAACTGTTCTTCTCCTGTGTTCTGTCATGATATACACGACATACATTTTAATCTCCAGTCATTCCCTTCCTTTGCAGCTGATCAGCACTTTTTACTTTCTTTTTAGTGATACTCTTTTTAGTGAGTAAAATTTTCTGAGTTTTAGAACTTACGCTTGTCCAATTTAGATCCTTGATTGGTATTTCATAAGCAACACGAAGCAGCTATTTAAATGGTCTAAGCAACCTCTGAACAGAACTCAGAACTGGAATATGTTTAGAACACATCAGAAAGATTTTCTAAACTGAAAGACACTGTAGAATTCACTGTGTGTTTTAAGCGAGAAATTCTTAAGATCATGGTATAGCATCCAAAATATGAAAGTGGAGTGAAAGTATGTTTGTACAGATTGAAAGTTCTTCTTTTTACACCAGGGTACATGAGAGATGAAGTTGACTCACAGTTTGTGCCTTTGAATAGATGGAGTACAGATGAATTCCTGTAACAAGTGGAAGAAAAGCCATTCAAATGCACTCTGGCATTCCTCAGATTGCAGAAGAACAGAAATGCCAAAGTGAAGAAACAAATACTCCTCATTCAAAATTAATCTTATTATTCAAAGCCTATCTGAGTTTGTTTATTAACCAGAAATAATTCCACACATTCTCAATAATTTATTGCAATGATGTACAGCTGGCTGATACTTTGGAACACTCGTCACGTATATGTATTCTCTTTTGAAGACTGTGCAGGTGCCTTGGTGCAGCCTATTAACAAACTGTTGTATTGCATGTCTCCACAAATGTACCTTTCCCTATTTTTTTTCCCTACAGCTCTTTACACTGAAAATGCTATAAAAGAATCCTCATTCTCTTCCATTTCTCCATCTCATTGAAACTTTAATCTTCTGTAAAGAGTCTTCTTTTTGGTAGAATCTCATATATCTTGTTTTCAACTTCTTTTAGAAGCTTTAACTATACAAAGGAAAGCATTAGATGGCTTATTAAGGCCTCAGTCTTTGCTTTTATTCTTTACCTAACATTCCCGGTACTTTAAAACCAGTTCTTGTTGTTTTGATTTGCGATGTCTTTTTCCTCCTGGCAAATATTTTAACCTGTGAACTTTTCATACAATGGATCTGATTGTCTCATAGCCTTTAAAAAATAATTTAAAAAAGATAGAGCATAAAAACAGTCATATAAGAGAGTAGGTTCATGATTTCAAAAGTATTTTATTAACTGAATTTATGAAGATTATTCACGTAACCTCTGACAGGCATCACTGGGGTAGTATGTAGCAATTGTACTAAGCTCATAACTTTACATAACTGATATAATTCTATACCACTGCACCCCAAGAGAAATGGCAGAGAGTAGGAAGGGTAGACGTGCCAACAGCAGCATAACATCTGGGATTACTGTGTTGATACTAGAGAAATGATACAGCTAGCAATGTGAAGAGGCAGTTCTCTCTACCTCCTTGTGCATGGGTAGTCCTCAGTGGAAAATCTGCAAGGTGAATCTCTTGGCATTTCCCTAGTTCTGTCACCACTGCAATGTAATACCTGGGAATAAAATGTGCCCAGTAGTTTGGCATTATCCGTCATCCAGACGGTGTATGGTTGGGAATGACATGGATTCTGAGTCCAAAGAGACTATCTGATTAGAATAGAACCTGCTTTCCATCCATCAAATTCTTAAAGCATTATCTCCTACTTACTGAGCAGGTGGATGAATTATAAAAAGAACATGGCAGGCTTTCTGTGATAGTTGTATTTTCTGTGGTAATATAAATCCATATAAATCACTCTTACCTCTTAGTGTGGCAGGAACAGGTGATGGTGAGACAAATTGCCAGCACAGCTATTTGCACTTGGGATCCAGCATTGCCACCATTCAATGTACATCACAGAATTTCAGTTACAAAAAACAAAATAAAAAAATAAAGAAAACAGGAGAACAGCTATAGCAAAAATGAAAATTCTCTTGAACATTTGCCTTTAAAATCACAGAAAATTATTAGCATACTTTTTGCAGATGAGTGAAAAGTTCAAATCAATAATTTATCAACTGCATTCAATCTCTTCTTGTTTTTCAGTAGTCAAGTTGGAGGTTATGTTACTCGGAAATGTACTTGTTCTTAAAAATATACGTAGGCATACTTTTAGAAGCTTTTATATATATGTATATATATTTATATGAATATTTGCTTTTCACCTCTGACTGGTTGTTCAGATTCCATCGAATTGTAACTTTCAGAGGACAAGTGGCTTTGGAAACACTTCAGAGGTGGATACCTGTACATGGAATCACAGAATCACCTATGCAGGAGCAGGAAGGCACCTATGGAGACAAACTAGTCCAACTGCCGCTCAAAGCAGGGTCAGTTACAGCAAGTTGCTCAGTGCCACAACCACTCAGGTTTGGAATATTTCCAGGGATGGAGACCCCACAGCCTGTCTCAGCAACATGCCCTAATGTCTCACAACTCTCAAAGTAAAACAGTTTTTCTCACGTTTAGATGGAATCTCCTGAATTTCATTTTGTGCCCATTGCATCTTGTGCAATCACTGAGCACCACAGAGAAGAGTCTGGCTCCATCTTCTCTAGTCTCCCAACCATTATTTATATACATGAGTAAGATCCTCCCTGAGCCTCTTGTTCTCGAGGCTACAGAGTCCCAGCTCCCTCAGGTTCTCCTTGCATCACAGATGCTCCAGTCTCTTTATTATCTTCATGGCCTTTCAGTGGACTCAGTCCAATATGTTCATGTCTTTCTTTTGCTCGGGAACCCTGAAATGGACCCAGTACTCCAGATGTGGCCTCACCAGTGCCAAGTAGAGGGGAAGGATCACCTCCTTCAACCTGGAGACAACAGTCTTCCTAGTGCAGCCCAAGATGTTGTTATCCTTCTTTGCTGAAAGAGCACATTTCTGGCTCATTTCTGGGTCTTGGTGTCCCCCAGGACCATCAGATCTTTTTCTGTCAAGCTGCTTTGCAGCCAGTTAGCCTCAAGTGTATACTGGTGTATAGGGTTATTCTCGCTGAGGTGCAGAATTTGGCTTTTCTCTTTGCTGAACTGGAAGCTTTTTTTGGTCCATTTACCCAGTGTGTCCACATGTCTCTGAATGTCAGCACAACCACCCAGTGTTCCAACCACTCCTCATAATTTTGTATTATATGAAAAATTTAAAACTAATATCTATGAATATTCCTATGTATTCATATATATTCCTATTTATGACTTTTCTCCAGGTGGGCAACACAAAAGGAGCGTTGTAGAACATTTATTAAAAACTGTGACAGAGAGCACGGATGCTTTGGAAACTGTTTTCTGCTCCTGTATGCAGGTAATCATTAACCACCAGGTTGTGAGATGCTATAGCACGAATTACTCTCTCTCTTCTAGATCAGTAGAAGTGTAAGTATTTGCATCAGCTACAGAGCAGTCCCATTCTGGATGAATTCACTCTCATGTCTATAAATATCTGTAACATTCTAGGTTTATCTTTGTTATGGCTGTTCATAACAGCATAAAATCTGAATCCAAGTATATTAGAAAACATAGCAATGTCACACAAGATGTAAGTTTTTTTCTTTGTTTACCTTTCTACCAATTGGAAGGTTAGAAAAGTAAAAGCCACATAATTACTTTTCATATTCTTTTTGAATAGAAGTCATCTATGTAGAAAGGATCACCTCCAAGCCCATGGAAAGCAAAGTTACTATACAAGTCATCAGAATGAGGTTTGCCCTACTCTGTATCTCACCCATTGGTTACTTCTGTGTTGCCTCCTTTGGTTCTGTGTTATAGCTTATACAGCCTGATATAGCCTGGCTTTGCCATCACTTCCACTGTATAAAAAACCTGTAATTGCTGTTATTTTAGTAGAGATAATTCTGATTTCTCCTGTGACATATCATCACTGTTAAGTTGTGAATTTTCCTTAAAACAAACAGTGGTCATGAGTTTTTTGTGTATCAAATTGGGGTAACTTTCATCACCTAAGTATGTAAAACGATGGTACATTGGATTAGAACTTCAGCCAAAGTTTTATAGTTTTATGCCTTATAGTTATGACTTAATCTTTCTACTTTAAAATGTAGAATATCATTTAAATATCTAGCAAGACCACTGCAGGCATGGAATATTCTTAGTGAAGTAGACATAAGGAAAATTCATCACAAAAACAAGTGAACGTTTCTGAATACATATGATGTTGCTGATGGTTTCGTAGAGCCAGATCCACAACTGCTTTTAACAAGATTCTAACATTGAGTGATCTGACAAAGCATATACTTACAGTTAAGTAAGAGTGTGAGAGCTTTGCTGGAGCTGGATATTAAGATATTGCTGCAGTCCTACCCAGAAAATTATGAAATTAGCATTTTCCCTGTTAATTTTTTTTCTAGAAACAAACATCATCATTTTTAAAAAAATTAAATGCTTTTAAAATAATTGTTGTAAACTCTAGCTTCTAACAAATATAAAGGAATATTTTTCCTTTGTGAAGAAAAAGATTTATAATTGAGGAGGTTTTTTTTTTTTTCTTAGTGAAAAGGAAAGGTTTCTTCTGAAATAGCAAATAATCTAATGACATATTTGAATACTGAAAACATTGGATCTAAATATCTAAATGTTTTAGGAAAGTTTACAACAGGCACACTGAAAGGTATTTTCAGATTAGGTGCTACTAGAAATTACATATGTTAGAAACAGACATTAAAAAGTTTGTTTCTGGTATCCTTTTGATTATATCATCTTTTATAGCTTTCTTGAATATCTTGAGAAGTCAATGAAAGGCAGTGTAAGTTGAATTTAAGAAATTGCAAATGTATTCCTTTCGATTTCCGCTGTCAATTGTAATGTTTTAAAACCTAGTCTTTGCCCTGAAGCATGACCTAAACATCAAAGGATGAACTGACAATGTGAAGTGTTAGAAATCTCACCACCATTCCCATTAACAGCAATGGCAGTTGCACATCTAATTCCCCATTCACCACACTGAAAATTTCCCCCTCAAGAGTCATGAAAGCCATGAAACTTACCATGGGGGTGAAACTCTTGTAATGCACTACTTAACTAGATTTTGATACCTGGAGAGAAAAGAAAGTGAAATTTCAGGAGCTGCATTTAACTGATAACACACTACATTCCAAAGAAGGCTATACAAGGATAAGCAATAATGCTAGAAAAATGGTGCTAGAAGCAGTGGTTGTACAGGAAGATAAAATATAAGGGATAAAAGAAACAGGTTGTCACCCTTGGGATTGGGAAGGAACATTAAACTGCTGAGGGCTAAAAGTAAGAGCAGTTATTCTTGGATCCAATGAATAGCAGGTTCTCCTAAAGGAGTTTTTTTTTTACTAAAAGATAAGGAAAAATGGAAAGTTAGGGAAGGAGGTACAGCAGGCTATAATAATGATCCACAGAGAGAAGGAAGATACAGTGATTCTACCTAGCTATTATTTAATAGGTATATATAGGGAGGACAATACTAAGTGGCCGTGAAGGATTTTACCCACACATAAATGTGTCAGGAAGGATGAATAATGGCAACTTGTACTGATGTCTTTGGGTGCAATTCTAGCCCCATGGAAGTGAGAAGGAACTTTGCTATTAACTTAAAGGCAGACAGGATTTCATGTCCTACTTTCTTCTAAATCCTTCCTTCCTCTATATGCTCACGGATTGTTAGGACCTTCTGCTTCACCCCACACATTCTCATCAACATTAGCACAAGAATCACTCCTTATTCTTTTGTATATTATTTTGTATCACTTCTGTATTATCTCTACGTTTTACTGATTTTTACTCATTTCAAATAGTAGTAGAAATATTTTTCCTTGCTTTTTTAGTGCATCTCAGTCTTTCATTCACTCTTCTGTTTTCTTCATACTGCTTTACTCTCACTGTTAATATTTATTCTATTTATATTTAAGTTTTTGATACACTGCTCTGAAAGTTACTATAAAAGTAAGTATGCATATTGTCATGTAAACATAGATGCAATTTATTAAAAAATAAAAGTAAGTTTAGAGTAAAATCGATGTTTAACCCATCAAAGTATATTCTTAGTCTAAACCTTAAAGAACTTTGAAGTTAATGGTAAAATTTAATGAGGATCTTATGAATGAAACTAAAAGTAATTTAAACTAAAGGCAGTGCCTAAAATAGAAGTTATGTATAATTAAGAAGAGAAACGTGAAGGTGTCATTCCAGAAACTTCTGATCAGCTGGTGACGTACTTTGAAGGTACCTAAAAGTGAAGGGTACTTTACTACTTTTATTCTGAATAGTCCCTAATGTAGGGTTTGAAAAGTTTCCAGAGTGCTATATGTATCTACATGACCAAAAAACATTCAGGGGGACACCTCCCTGTTGACTCTCAGCAAGGCAGTCACACCATCTAATTTAAGGCTTACTTAAAGCTAACTTAGCTGCTTGGAGTCACCTACTGACTCTATAAGGAGCATGGACTCCTTATTTTAGGTATGCTTCAGCACATACAAATGAAACATCTCAAGTAAGAATACCCTATTATTTGATTCAGCAGATTTTAGAAGTCAGAGACACACCGTAAAAAGCATCCAACAGGTTACTAATTTGCTTCAGTCACACTGCCCATTTCCATGACAAAACTTACTTTTTGATTTATTCCCATTGTGAAAATTCACAAAAATATTTGGGATCTTTCTTTCTTTCCTTTTGGGAGCTCTCTGAGTTTTTTGAAGGGCATAACCCAGTAAAACAGTACCATATGCATGTAAGAAGCCTCTTTAACACTTATTTAACAGTGAGAAAATTCGCTTTTCCCTAAGGAGTGCACAGCTCTTCTAATTCTGAGTTTCTCTGGGGAGAGGGGTCTGACTTCAGAACAGAATGGATTGCTTTATTTCTATTTTTAGGAGATTAATTCCATATTTGTCTCTGAATAAAGTTCTATTTCCACTGAAGTCTAATGATTTGGGTCATTGATTTCACGTTCTGTGTTTAAGACATATGTGTCGAGCTTTGCCCTCAGTTTAAGAGTAAATACTCCCATTTATTGCTCTGGGATCAAGACAAGCCTCAATATCCAATTCTTTTCCTGATATTAAAAGAGATTACTCTGACAATGGAGGTTTCATCAACATACCATAAAGAATTCAGCAAAGCCACTTGGGAATAAAAATGTTGTTTTTTTTTGTTCTGGCATATACTGTACTATCAGTTCCACTAGTTTTGTCACAGATACAGGAAAGAATCTCTGTATGGGTACAAAATAAATCATCTGCGTTCGGTAATCAAGATGGGGAGCTGATGCTGTTGCTTGTTTTCGTCAGTCCATGAAATGAAAATGATTGTAAACCACACCAGCACAATGTATACCCATGAGCCTCTTGTAATTGGGATGATCATTTAATTGGCACATTTTGTTTCCGCTGGGGCGTGCCATTTAAGAGGACTCCAGTTTACTCTGCAGTTACAGGACATATTATATGAGCTCCTCAGCTAATATTACTAATATTGTAAGGAAAAATGAAAAAATCTTTGTTTTGCCGACTGCACAAACTATAGCAGCTTCAGTTCTCACACTAAGCTGGGAGAAAAAAAAAGACAATTATGCTTTTGCGAAGGAAGTACTGAAGGTACATTTTCCGCTGTGTTAAGAGGATCAAAGGAAAGATCTTCAGTAGCTGCAGACTCTTGTGCAATACATTCAGTTACAGCTATATGACAGAGAGATGAACAGGGAGAACCACAAAGAAGGAGAAATATGAGAGGAAAATGATTGAAAAAACAGTAACTTAAGGTAAGTCCTGATTCTTGTGGATAGGCTTTTTTTTAATTCTTTATTATTATTACTATTAAGAATGCAAATTTAAAGTGATGGAAATAGCAGAACCTATATGAAGTATATGGCAATAATTATATTAAAGGCATAGTAATTACACTTATTACAGCTATCGTTTTTGTTCTCATAGCAAGGCATGTAAGGGGATAGTAGCATAAACAAACTCATCCCACCCATCAGCTTTTAGGCTCCAGTGAAGGGATGGGGAGTTATATAGCTAATTTAGCTCCAGGCGGTCAAATTGTCTCCCAAGGAGCTTCCAGTTGACAGAATAAAAGAAGTAGCGTATGTATATTTTCCATTCTTCAGTTCTCAAAATAATTGCAACATCCCAAAAATTAATCCTTTCTTCAAGTACTTCTCTTTCAAGGAATATCTTTCATTTTAGTCCCAAAGATACATCCTTCCACAGAACTAAGACAAATCTACTTGTGATAGGAATAAATTACAACTAATAAGGACTGGAATTCTGCTTATACAAAGAGTTACTTACAAATAGTAAAGGAAAATATAATGTAATGTTAAAATAATCACACACCTATCTACATCTCCTAAATGGATAAATTTTCAGGTTCCTTCATCTGTTTCATTTTTTAATATATTGTTTCCTACGCTTGTACTTTGACAAGTTAAAAGGCACCATCTTCCACAGTTCCACTGTACAATGGAAGAACTTGACAATAGTTTATTTTCTACTCAGTTTGAAAAACCTTTTTCCAGGAGTACTAATGGAAAATAGCATTGAGGGAATTTGGGCAGGGCAAGCTTTCAAAAATAAGCTTATCTGATGAGTGAAGAAGGTCACTAGAAATGCAAATTTCAGGCCAAATGCAAGTTCAGATCAGCTCTGGAAGAAATAGAAACTTAACAGAATTAACACAGTATTGTTAAACAGAGTATGAATTCAAATTTAGGAAGGGATAAATGTGTCTTGAAAGTATTTCTTTACGATTTAAAGTTTTAAACTTACTTGTTACCATTTTCTGAAAAATTAAAGTCCCTAATTGTCCCCAAAGCCTACCGCCAGGCTCTCACCAGAGCAATATACTGTCATTTGTGGCCACGGAGCCTCAGTGGCTCCCACTGGCCAGGCTGCTTATCTCCTCTGCGCTGATGAGATGTAGTAAAGGATCCAATTTCCCACAAGGTACAGTAGCATCTTCTACCCTGCCCCCATTTCTAAGCCAAAGGAAAAACCTCTTAACTTCACTTCTCAAGGTTGGCTTCTGCTTACATTACCATTCACTCAGAGGACTTCCACATTCCCTCTCTCATGCTTATAAAACCCATTATTTTTTAACTTTGTATTGTAGCAGCTGAGGGCTTTAGGTGTCATGCTCATGGAGAGGTAGCTGATATCTTAGCAGCACATCTATAGTGGACGTTACTCACATGCTTTTCACTTTCTTGTCTAATTCAGAGGTACCTGCTGGGTACACCAAAAGTCTTTCCTTTATTGTCTAGATTGTCACTCTGACCTTCCCTTGTTTCAGCTTCCCACAGCCGTTTCCCAGTTGGATACACTGCCCCTTTTTTTTTGCCTCAGTTTTTTCCCTACTATCAGCCATTTTGCCTGTTCAACATATTCATTAGTAAAGAAAAAGTATCTGTGAAGGCCAGACTTTCTCAGAATCTGTGCAACCTAAAATTCCCGCTGCTTAACAGAAGGGTCATTTCAGAAATGCTGAGTAGCAACACTGAAGTCAATTGCATCCGTGCCTACTCAGTAGCTAAAAATCAAGCATTAAAGATCATTTTATGAGAGTAATATTGCATATATAGCTAGGAAAACAGAGAAATAAACCAACAAAAAGACCAGGAATTGTAAGATGAAGGCACAGAAAAGCATTATTATTGTGTCAGCCTTCATTTATGTCTCATAGTTATGCTGCTTTTATTTTCTAAATAGTTTCTTTCTGTATATCTTTAATTTTGTCTTTAACTTTTTCAGGAGAATGATGACATCAGTTACTAGTTGGAAAAAGTCAGCGTACTGCTAGGTCAGTAGCGATGTCAGTATTAAAAAAAAAGCAATTGCTTGCATGAAATGTGGAGCATCTTAGAGATAATGAATACAAAATATTTTCTCAAATTAATGTTATAGAAAGTAAGAAATAGTTTTTATTACCTGAGGCAGATATACCAATATTTTATTGAAGAAATGCAAATAATTTATTTTCTAAGTTGGAATATTATTTCAATTATGATTAGTTTAGATTGATAGGAATGAAATGGAATCATGATGGTAAAAAATCTGATCAGATGATGATAGAGCCATTGATCTAGTAGTGATATTGACTGTGTGCTACCAGAAGGAGGAATACAATTTCTTTT